TGTTTGTTGTTCATAAGAACCTACTCTATAGTAACAATGATTACAAAGATAATTTAGATATGCCAGTAATACTTGTAATGTTTGTTGTTCATAAGCTGATGACCACCAGGCTCTGATCTGGGACATTCAACAGATGCCACGTGCAATAGAGGACCCAATACTAGCTTACACTGCAGATGGAGAAATTAATCAAATCCAATGGGCATCGACACAGCCAGATTGGATTGCTATCTGTTATAATAATTCACTAGAGATACTTAGAGTATAAGGTATGTTGTATTTTATGTTTATACCTCAAAGTGCAGTTTACTTCATGGTTATGTTTACAATCTGTTGGTCATATTGAACCCTCCCATATTAGGTATCAATGAGGGATCAACCTGTAGTACAGAATTCATGGTAGTGGGATACCTGTGGGGCAGGTCTATGTTGCCCACTCGTAAAGTCTGCTCTATAGAGAAATTGTCAGTACAACTAACTGTTCTCTATCAAAACCTGTATGTTTATTAGAATGAGTTTACATCATGTCAATATGATGGAAATGCAGTAGTGGATGCAATGGGATGTTACTTACAAAAGTTGTCTATCAGTAAAAATTTGCTTTAATCCCTTTTTTTAAATATCTTTATAGGGTAATGTACCAAAGTACATTTATCAAGAAAGATAAAGTTTTTATATCATGACTGAAAGACTTCGGACTGTTGTTCTACCATTATTGACCAAATACAGTTACAAAGTCTGAATCAGGTCAGCAGGTCATGCAACCAGTCATCCGTCAATCATGCAACTAGTCTTGTTGTTTGTTAGTCACGCAACTAGTCATGTTAGTTGTTAGATATGCAATTTGATAGTCATGTAACTAGCAAATTCTAGTCACAACACTGGTTGATCATTACATTTTCTTTAGAGAAAGGAAATATAATGTATGCTGATAGGATAGATGAGTAAATGATAGGTGGTTCAGTTTCTTTGTATATATCCAATGAGTGAGTGAGTGTGTATATAGTATACAAAGACTAGGTACCTCATTAATTCTTTCTCTCGGCTGTTGTACAAACTGAACTACTTTCAAATCTTTTATGTAAAACATATCTAAAGACTGAAATTATTTATTTTGAAGAATTCTTCCATCTGAGGTTAACCAAACATTCTTACTTCAGCTATCAAATACTGCACATCACAGATGTATTTTGCCTCTCAAACATGTCTAGCCTGTATAAAGCAAATACTTGACACCAGGGGATTTTTTGAGTTTCTCATTTAATTAACTAGAAAATCTCAGATTTTTCTCTAAATGCCTTGGGTGTCCTCGTGAAATAAGCGTCAAAAACCACAAGAGCATAATGTTGAATTCTATTGCAGAAATAATCAAAAATATGATCGAGGAAAGGTTAAAAAAACTTGTTCTTTTGTAGTTTTTTGTTTTCCTTTCAACAGAAAAGTCTGTATGCTAGGGTTCAAATAAAATGGAAAAGATGTTGTAGATAATGTATTTAATGGTTTGCTATCCAGGCCCACTGCCAGAACCGACTCCACATCAGGTGTGGTGGGTAAGGTTTTCGAGGCTCGTAAAGAATTGCTGTCAAACCTTCATATTTTACTTCATGATGTATTTTATTTCTGTTGTAACATTGTCTGGTTATACCAATATTTATATCTTCATCTCTCTCTCTATATATATATATAGATAGATAGTCGAAGATCTGTTTTTATTAAAATGGAATTGGATGTAGTGTCATCTACGTAGTTTGTTCGATTACCTTTTTTTAACGTTACAGAGATATGTGTCATTTTAGAGAGACTAAGATTCTCGTTTACGGCAAACGTGAATCGTCAGTTGACCGTTAAAAAATTCTTTAAAATTAGTGAAAAGGAATCACAAATATAAACAAAAGACTACTTGTCCTTTGTCGAGAAGGTTTGCAAAAGGTAAAGTGAAATGTAGGGAAACGATGAAAACGTGGTCACGTTTGCCGTTTGAGGTAAAGGAAAAATGGGAATCTTAATCTGCCTAATATCTATTGTATAAACCTTACCTTAAGGGCAAAATGTTTGTTTGCTTGCCTCTGAAAGTATCGCGTTATACCCATAAACTATAATAGAACAACTGAGAAACTAGCCGTGACTCGGCATTTTACAAGTAAACTTGGAGTAACAGTACAAAGGGTGGTCCGATAAAGACTATTATATAGGAGCCACCTACCATTGTTGCGATCAATTAATATTTTTCCCTAACCTCAATCTTCCTGTTTTCTAGTTTTCAATGTTTCTAACATACATTGGGATAGTTTTCACTTTTTGTCAGCTTTGTTTAGCGGTTTTGCTGCCTTAATCTTCGGATGGTCTCATCACGTTCTTCTATTACTCTTCTCAATTCTTGCTGGTGTTTTTCCAGAGTTTCCATCATGCTGTCAATTCCTTCCATATCCATCTTTGCCTTTACTTGGTTTTCTCTTATTTGAGATTGCAGCTCATCTTTCTGTTCCTCTAACCTTTTGCTCATTTCCTTGAAGATAGCATGCTGCTCTTCCTGGTTCTGTAGCACAAGATCCTCCATCTAATCAGTAAAGTGCATTAGTCACAGCGTTAGTGCAATTCCCTAAAAACTCCTGCAACTGCCTAAAATAAATTTCTAATTCTATTACGTTTAATTGCAAAGCCCTTGAACAAAGAATGAAAGGTCATTAAATTCTGCTTGCAAAATAATGAAAGACAGAGGGGGGACCCAAGGTTGGGACAAGGTCACCAATCATAACCTTTGTCATCATGCCTCTTCAAACCTTCAACACTCCTTAAAAAATAGCTTAATTAGAAGGAACTTGCGCGAACATTTTCTGTATAGGATGGTCCCTTGTAGTCTCTTCCTCACCCAGTTAGTACAGTCAGAAGTAAGGATTTTGATGGCATACCTTTTGATCTATATCTCGTATCCTGCTTTTGATGCGCTCATTTTCTTCCTAAAAGAATAACGAAAAACTGTTGGTCAAGAATGGTTGAATAGGAGACACGAAAGAAGACTGATATACTCACTTCATTTTGTTGTTTTATATACTGCTGTTCTTCAATCATGATTTGATATGCAGTGATCTCGTCACGTTTTGTTCCCATCTGCCTCACGAGTTTGATCTCTTCTCTCATTTCTTTGTCAAGTTCCTTTAAAACAATGATAAAGGCACTAATAGTCAGTCTAATTGTGTATTATTGCCAGTAAAACTTCTCGTGTCAACCAACTGGGTGCCAACCAACACCTTTCCTGATGAGAATGATTCATTGCTAAGAAAATACGGAGAAAAGAATCTCCAAAAGTGTCCCACGCAACTCAAAAGCTAGATCTCCCTGAAACAGAAACGTGTCAGAAACAAACAGGACCAACCATGCCTATTACCTCTTCGTACAGCATTGTGTAGTTCTTAATAAGCTCTCCACAGCCTCGACACACTCTTTTAAACTTCCTCATAACTTCTTCGTAGGCGCTCGTGATCCTCTTCTCAGCTATACCTTGGTCACACTCCTCCCACATGGATTTCATTGGTGTCAGAAAGGTTTCTTTCAGTTCTTTAAAGAGTGTGTCACAGTTTTGTTCTGTCAAGTGGGTATTTTCTCGAAGCCAAGAGCTTTCTGTGTCTTCAGCCTCGGCCTTAAGAAATGAAAATGAAGCTGATCAGGTTTTAGCACACCTCATGTAGGGCGAATAACATTTCTTTTGGCACAACGGGTCAGTAAAGAACTGGTGATGTTCCCTTGCATAAATGTACTGGTGATGGACCCTGGACAAATATACTGGTGATG